TCAGTATTCCTAGTGTAATGAGGGTCTGATGCATGCACAGAGTGCATCATATAGCATCTCAACTTGGAGGACACTAGGAAGAAAATGGCATCCACTTGGAGGATGTCAGGGAGAATGCATCCAGTATAAGTATGATGATACATAAGGGAAGTGCCTTGGAAAGACATTATAGATCATGCATAGACATTCTATAACTGGTTGTGGTTGGTTAGTCATGTTGAGTAGGATTTTTGAGCAACTTTTTTTTTTAAATAGCAAGCATTTATTTTCTCTCCCTTCCACCTCCCACTCAAAAAAGTAAAAAAAGAAAAACAAATATGCAGAGTTAAGCAAAACAAATTTCCACATTGGCCATGTCCAAAAATGTATTCCTCATTCTACATCTTGAGTCCATCAGCTCTCTGTCAGGGGGCATGTAGCAAAGTTTCATCACTGGTCTTCTGGAGTCTTGTTTGGTCATTGCATTGATCTGAATTCTTAAGTTTTTCAAAGTTGTTTGTCTTTATGTTGTTATTATATAATTTGTTCATCTGGTTTCGTTCACTTTATTCTGCAACAGTTCATACAAGTCTGATATTTTTCGGAAACTGTCCCTTTCATCTGTAATGGGGGTCTGGTGCGTGTGCAGAGCATATCTTTCCACCTGGGGAACTTGGAAAGCCTGTTTCTGGGATAGTAATGATGGTTTGTAAGAGAAGTAACTTGGAGAGACAGGCTGTAGAGCATGCATAGACATTTTTAACTAGTTCTGGCTGACTGATCAAGTGTTGAGGAAGCTTTTTGATTGGCTGTGGAGGTATTCAAAAGGTCTATCAGCTTCAAGCCCCAGTCTCTTTTGTTAATTATCTCTGGTGGAGGGGGTGCCATCTCCAGTTGTCCTAATTTATATCTGGCCACTAGACCCATATGACTACAGAGGAGAAAGTGAGGCAGGTGTCTTTGCACAGCCCTCCGTCACTTAAATCCAATTCCTTTGCATGTCATGGCATCATCTTCCTGATGTCACGGTCTTCTTCAAGAACTAAGGACAAACAACAAAACACAACCTGCGAATAGTCCGACCTACCCTACTGGCCAGTTCCAGTTGGGCAACTAAGCTCCGCCTCTCCTTTTCCCTTCCCTCCTCTCCTCTGATCCAGAGGGAAGATGTAGTTTACTTGGCCTTGAGAATATGAGATAGAGCTCGTCAGAAGGGTAGTGAATAAAGTGCTGGCTTTGGAATCAAATCTGGCCTCAGACAATTACTGTGTGGCTCTGGGCAAGTCACTTGACCTCTGTTTGCCTCAGTTTCTTTATTTGTTAAATAGGGATCATGGTAGAGTAGCTATCTCCTGAGGTGGTTGTGATCAGATGAGGTAACATGTAAAACCTTGCAAATCTTAATGTCCTCTATAAATGTTAGCTATTCTTAGCCTTATGCTATGCTGCCTTTTAGGAGATAGAGTTTTTATTTTTGAATCCTCAGTGCTGGGCACAGTATCTTGCCTATAGCAGGCACTTACCTCTGGAGGGTTTTGGTCTCATTTTGGCACTAGGGATCACAGGGTCATAGATCTAGAGTAGAAGGGTCCTTAGAAACAATCTAGTCTCTAAGGCTAAAGAAGAAATTAAAGCCATCTATAGGCATATGAAAAAATGTTCTAAATCATTATTGATTAGAGAAATGCAAATCAAAACAGCTAAAGAAGATGAGGGTTGAGAGAGGGGGAGTAATTTGCCCAAGATCAGGTGATAGAGGCAGGAACATCTGAACTCAGGTTCCTTGATTCCAGATTTAGCAGTCTTGGCATGGAAATACTGAAAGACTAGTGATTTTTCCCAGCTTGAAAAACTTTTCGACTGGGTAGCTTTGTTGTGGAACTATGATAAGCCAGGAGGTTGTTGTTGAAAAAGAGAAGATGGAAAGGGATAGGCCATCTTCACTCCTAGATGTGGGAGGCAGTCAAGACAGAATTTGTGGAGGGGGTCTATGCAAAAGGGGCCTTTGTATTTAGGACTGTGACTCTGGGGATTTACTTACATCTTCAGGACTGACTGACTTCTCATTAAAAGAGTTTTATATATATATATATATATATATATATATATATATATATATATATATATTTTTTTTTTACTTTGATTTATCAACAATCACTTCCATATGCTTTTGAATTTAAAAGTTTTCTCCCCCTTCCTCCCCACTACCCTCCCCAAGATGGCGCATAGTCTCATGTAGGCTATACATTTACATTCCTATTAAACATATTTTCACATTAGTGAAGTTGTAAGTAAAAATTAAAACCAATAGGAGGAACCATTTGAAAGAGGAAATAAAACTCAACAGAAGAGAAAAAAAATAATAGCGATTCAACTTCCATAGTTCTTTCTTTGGATGTGGATAGCATTTTCCATCACGAGGCCTCTGGGGATGTCTTAGATTCTTGTATTGCTGAGAATGGTTAAGTTTATCAATATCAGTCATCGTACAACGTGGCCGTTATTGTGTACAGTGTTCTCTTGGTTCTGCTCATTTCACTCAGCATCAGACTATACAAGTCTTTCCAAGTTTTTCTGAAGTCAGCCTGTTCATCATTTCTTATAGCACAATAGTATTCCATTACATTCCCCAACTGATGGGCATTCTCTCAATTTCCAATTCTTTGCCACCATAAAAAGGGCTGCTATGAATATTTTTGTACATGTGGGTCCTTTTCCCATTTGTATGATCTCTTTGGGATATAGCCCTAGAAGTGCTATTGCTGGGTCAAAGGGTATGCACATTTTTATAGCCTTTGGGCATAGTTCCAAATTGTTCTCCAAAATGGTTGGATCATTTCACAACTCCACCAACAATGCATTAGTGTTCCAATTTTCCCACATCTTCTCCAACATTTATCATTTTCCTGTTTTGTCATGTTGGCCAATCTGATAGGTGTGATGTGGTACCTCAGAGTTGTTTTGATTTGCATTTCTTTTAATCAATAATGATTTTAGAGCATTTTTTCATATGATTATAGATGGCTTTAATTTCTTCATCTGAGAACTGTCTTCATATCCTTTGACCATTTATCAGTTGGGGAATGGCTTGTAGTCATATAAATTTGTTTTAATTCTCTACATATTTTAGGAATGAGGCCCTTATCAGAGAGACTGGTTGTAAAAATTCTTTCCCAATTTTCTACCTTCCTTCTAATCTTAGTTGCATTGGCTTTGTTTGTGTAAAAACTTTTCAATTTAATGTGATCAAAATTATCCATTTTGCTTTTTGTAATGTTCTCTGTCTCCTGTTTGGTCATGAATTCTTCTGTTCTCCATAGATCTGATATTCCTTGCTCTCCCAGTTTGTTTATAGTATCAGCCTTTATATCTAAATCATGAACCCATTTTGACTTCATTTTGGTATATGGTGTAAGATTTGGGTCTATGCCTAGTTTCTGCCATACTCTTTTCCAGTTTTCCCAGCAGTTTTTTTTTCAAAGAGTAGGTTCTTGTTCCAGAAGCTGGGGTCTTTGGGTTTATCAAATAATAGATTACTATAGTCATTGACTGCTGTGTCTTGCATATTTAACCTATTCCACTGATCCACCACTCTATTTCTTAGCCAGTACTAGGCAGTTTTGATGATTGCTGCTTTATTATACAATTTAAGATCTGGAATAGCTAGGCCACCTTCCCCTGCATTTCTTTTCATTCGTTCCTTTGATATTCTGGACCTAAGAGATTTATATTGTCCTTTCCTGTTTTAGTAAACATTTTTTCCTTCTAGCAGCCGATGGAGTATAGGATCTGGAGTTGGGAAGACCTACATTCAAACAGTGCCTCAGACACTTACTAGCTGTGTGATTCTGAACATCTCCGTGCCTCAATTTCTTCATCTATAAAATGGGGAAAATAATTGCACTTACCTCACAGTGTTGTTGTAAGGTTCAAATGATTTAACGTATGTCAAGTGCTTTGTAAACCACAAAGCACCATATAAATGCTAGCTACTAATAAGCTATTATTACTCTATTTGTCCTGTACTGTAGTGGAAAATGCTTCAGGTTTGGAGACAGGAACCATGAGTTCTTGGCTTTAATTCTTATTATCTATACGACCTCAGACAAATTAGTTCAATTTTTTAAACCTCAGTTTCCTGATCTGTCAAAAAGGGAATAATGACAATTGTTACCACTTATCTCACAGGATTTCTGTAAGGGGTTGTAAACTTTAAAACACTATATAAGGATGAACACAGAGGAGGCAGCCTGATATAGTGGCTAGTGAAGCGGGCTCAGGAAGACCTGGGTTCAAGTGTCATCTCATCTCCCTCCAGACTCTTACAATGGACCAGTGTCCCAGACAAATAGAAGGGCTCTAAATGGCCAACGAGGGGTTGCCCTGCATTGCAGAGGTTGGTTTTTTCACCAGGGGTTCCCAGGAGATCAATGACATAGTGTTGTTGAGTATTTTTTTTAGACTGTTGGACTCTCGGTGACCCTGCTTGGTGTTTTCTTGGTAAAGATATTAGTGTGGTTTGCCATTTCCTTCTCCAGATCATTTTACAGATGAGGAATTGAGGCAAACAGAATTAAATGATTCGCTGAAGGTCACACAAGTAGCTAAGTGTGTGAGATCACATTTGAACTCAAGTTTTCCACACCCCAGGCCCATCACTCAATCCTTTGTATCAGCTAGCTGCCCCAGTGACATCATAGGTTAGGATAAAAAAAAAGAGTGGTCGGTTTTATATTCTCAGGATTATACCTCCCTTGCGGCTATCCTATTGTTTTTTGTTTAGTTGGTTCTTTGGCTTAGTTTTTGTTGTTGTACCACTAAACATCCTTCCCTTTAGGCTTTTAGATGGAAGATCTAATCACCATGTGGCAAGAAATTCTACCTCCACTTAATATATTAATCTTATTACTAACTCCCTGTTAATTGTGGTGCTGGTCCATTAACTTATGGCCCCTAGCCAGGGAGGTTAAAGTGCATAAGACTGGTGCTGGGTCAGCCCAGGGCAGGGCTGGGCAGAGCAGGCTAAGACACTGGGGCTCCAAGGGGCAACGCCCACCCCTGTAATTACTTTTTTCGGGCTGCACGCCAACACCACCTCCCACAAGGCGGCACCAAGGAGTCTGACAACCATAGAGTTTCACACCTCTTTCCTCCCTGGTAATAGTCAGCTAAGCAAAGGTTGAGAGGGGCGTCCGGGTCGTTGGGGGAGATAGAGCGGCCCTCCTGCCTTCGGGCTGTCTTCGGCTTCAAGCGCTTGCGCGGATCGCGGCGGGGTCGGCTTCTGCTTCAGAAATGGCGGCCTCCATGATTTTCAGCCGGCTCTCCGCTGCCCCGGTGCTGAGGAGCCACGGGCCCCAGACAGCGTTGCAGGCGGCCGCCAAGGTACTGACTGCTGACCAGGAGGAGGGAGGGCCGATGTCGGTCGAAGGGGAGGGCCGGAGCCTGAGCCCCGGCGCTGGGGTCACCCCGTTCCCGGTGACGTTCGTTCCAGGCCCGGCCCCACATTTCGGCCTCCCCAGGAGCCGGGGCAGTCTCCAGTTCCAGGCCTCCTTAGGACCTCGGTCCTAGGCTCAGGGAGCTGTGCAGAGGCCGTGGCAGCCCGGCCCTAGGCCGGGGAGCAGCGGTGGTAGAGAAGCAGCAGCCGCCTTCCCGGCCGGGCGTTGCGGGGCCTCGGTTGCAGCCTCCTGGGGAGAGGGGGGAGTGGTGAGGGGAGGGCCGGAAGTGGGGAGGGGGGATGCCCTTCAGATGTACTTCTCTGGGAGCTGTCACCAGTGTCACCATAGGCCTTCTTGGGGGAGAGGTGGGGAGCCCTCCCCCCACCTCCCTGTCCATGCCCAAGTGAGGAAGTATGGAAATCATCTTGCTTTTTTTAGGACAACTCACCAGCGAGACTTTACGTTTTATTTAAATTGAGATGCACTTGTCCATACACTCAGGAACATATGATTTGCCCCACCTGGTCATAGGACCCGTGGTCCATCCAATCCAGCAGTTTTTTGCAGGCAACAGGGCATCGTTGCTCTCCTTTGTGTCAACTAAGAAGTTTGAAATGTAACTTTCAAACACATTAGGCTCCCATAGTTATTCAACTTACAGGTTTCTGATCTTGAGCAGTTTTTGAAGCTATTTATAGCTTTAGTATTATTCCAATAAAGCAGTCCTCTCAGGCCTTCTTCTCTGCTCCTTCAAATCCTCAGCTCATTGAAATTGACCTTCTCTGAATCTTCCTTAGAATTTCTGTGTCTTTGAGGACTGTAATTCAGTTGAGAAGCAAACTGCAAAACCCAAAGAAGTTTCTTAGCTTTTCAAACTTCATTGTCAATAAATATTTGTTGTTCAGTCTTGTCCAACTCTTCATGATCCCATTTGTGGTTTTCTTGGTGAAGATACTGGAGTGGTGTGCCATTTCCTTCTCCAGCTCATTTTATAGATGAGGAAACTGAGGCAAACATAGTTAAGTGACTTTCCCAGGTCACACAGCTAGTAAGTGTCAGAGGCCAGATTTGAATTCAGGAACATGAATGTTCCTGACTTCAGCCCCAGCACTTTGTCCACTTAGCTGCCCCAAATAAACATTTATTAAGTGCTTATTATGTGCCAGGCCCTGTGCTAAGCACTGGGGTATACAAGAAGAGGCAAGAGACAGTCCTTGTTCTCAAGCAGTTTACAGTCTAATAGGAGAGATAACTTGCAAAAATAAATGCATACCAAACAAGCTTTTTACAGGATAAATAGGCAATAATTTAAAGAGAGAAACCACTGGAATTTAGAGGTTAGAAAGGTGGGATTTTATTTGGGACTTAAAGACAGCCGCGGAGGTTAGTAGTTGGAACAGAGGGGGAGAGTATTCTAGGTGTGGGGGACAGCCAGAGAGAATTCCTGGAGAGGAGAGATGAGGGTCTGGTTCATGAAACAGTAAGGAGACCAGTATCACACTAGTGGATGGACCTTGAGGTCTTCGCTATCTGACCAAACTCTAAGCATTCACAATGCCAGTTTAAGCCATCTTCATGACCATTGGAACAAATTGTTTTCATTGGTTCATTTCATGGAGGAAGTCTTCACATGCTTGAGGTAGACATCTCCCTAACTCCCTGATAGGTTTGAGGCCCCTCAGTTACCCTCAATGTGGTTTAGCCTGTCTGCCAAGACAGTTTACAGGGGTCTGGTTGCTTGTTGGAGCCACAGGGGAGACTTAAGTGAATCAGGTGGACACCAAAGGTGGATGAGCAGACCTGAAAAGGTCTAAAGGAGCCCTTACACCAGAGGTCCTGGAGGTAATAGGAAGCTGCTGAAGTGTATTGAGTGGGGTGACATGATCAGACCTTTCGATTTAGGATAATGACTTTGGTGGCTGACAGCAGAATGAATTGGAGTGGGGAGAGACTTGAGGTGGACAGACCCCCCAGCAAGGCTATTAAAATAATACAGGTGGCAGGTGATGGGGGGCTGCACTAGAGTGGTGGCAGTGGGGGAAGAGAGAAGGGAGGTATCAGATGTTGCAAAGGTGAAATTGACAGGCCTTGGCAATGGCTTGGGTGAGAGATAGTGAGAAGTCTAGAATGACTTCTAAATTATGAGCCTGAGGGACTGGGAGGATGGTGTTGCATCTCTCCAGCAATAGGGAGGGTGGGAGTGGGGGAGAGTTTTGGGGAAAGATCGTAGAATCATGGAGGATAATGATATTTGAGCTGGAGGGGACGTTAGAGGCCATCTTGTCCGTTTTACTAATGTTACAGGTGAGGAAAACAAGGCTCACAGAGGTTAAATGATTTTTCCCAAGATCATACAGATAATTAGCATCGGAGGTGGGATTTGATCCTCTTTCCTCTGATTTTTAATCAGTGTTCTTTTCCTATTTTCCACATTTGAGTAAGAGATACTTATCCTAGCTGCTGCTTTATTTTGCTTGTTTTTGGTGGAGTGGGCAGAATGAGGAAGGAGAATGGTATAGGGTTGCAGGTATGCATTTCAGGATGGTTAAAGTAGATGGCACCTGATGATAATATCAAGAAGGGAAAATGCTGTTTAGGAAAAGTAACCTTTTGGGGTATCACATGCCAAAGAATTTTGCATTGCCATCTTAATTTATAGCTGATGAAAATTCAAGTTGCAGCTTTTGGAGTTATGAAATTATGATTTTCAAACTGCCTTTGTATCCTAAAACTTTTTAATTGTCTATATGTATTGCACAGTAATAATTTATTGTTGCAAACAACCTGTAACAAATATAACTAATTTGGAATTGTTACCTTTGAGCCAAAGTAATCATCCACATCTAAAAAGTTTTTAAAAAGTTATAAATATTTTACTCAGAAAAATTCTAAGCTGTAATCTCAATTTAGTTTTTAATTTTTGGCCATTTTCTTGTATTTTTGATAATTATGTCAGAATTATTTGAGGTTAGTGTTGACCACAATGGTCAGTATTCTTCAAGGAATGCCAAATTCTAACAGTGTATGGATATAAAGTAGACATAATACAAAACAGAGCTTGCCGTTGAATTGTTTTGGAAGAATGTAAACAGGCTTTTGGAGGGCACTGGCTTCAAATGCGAATTAACATTAAATGAGGCAAAGGATTATTGAGGTCCTGTTGTGGCTTTATTGGTTTTAGCCTATTAAGTCACGTCATTACTCATATTTGCTTTTCTCCTGTTTAGGCTGATAGAATGCAACCTCCTTGAGGGCAGTTACTTTCATATGGGGCCTTAATGGATTAAGAATCTTATGGATTGAGAGTTCCCCACTCTGATTACTAGTGACTTAGTTGTCCAGGAAGTTAAGACTCTTTAAGTTCCAGAGAAGGTGTCAACTGGCAGTAGAAGGAGGAACCAGAAATTGCCTATACTAATGAAATCATAGATCCCTGTCCTACCTGTAGAGTATACCATCTAGAGTGTGTGGCATGTAGTGGGCACTTAATACATGTTCCATTAAGTAGCTTGCCATTGGTAGTATTGATACTGTAGGTTTTAATCTATAGTTTTTGATGTTTCTATAATGTAATAATTTCTCTATTATTTTATTATTTTTGGTGATAAGAGGGAACATTAGCATGGGTGACAACAAAAGCAAATGATATGCTGTTCTTCATTTACATCAGCATTATTTAGCAGATAGAGTTGGAGACTGGAAAGAGTTAGCCCTGGGTTAAGTAAGGCCAAAACTAAAGGCATTTGTGTGTTAGGACTGCTGGGTGGTAGGAAGACTTACCTCTCCTTTTCCCCACTGAACAGGAAAACCTTTTTTCTCTCACTAAAGCAATATTTTTAGTAAGCATAATATGATTGAATTTGCTTCATTATTCTGGAAACTCTTGGTTCAACTCTTTGTGATACAGCCATTTGAAGGGCTGGTTTTAAGTTCATTTTACTCAGATACTTGGTTTTAATGGTCATCATAGCTGAAAAAGATACCTCATAATGATGAAGTAGATCTCGGTGGAAAACAGTATTTGGTTGGCTGTGCTTAATAAATCATAGCACTCACTTTTTAACCTTGTATACCAATTGTGTAAAGGTTTTTGTTGAAATTTAGTTAGTAAATTTCTATCTTCCCAGATGTCAGTCAGTTTTTCTTGTAAATTTAATTGGAAAGTGCTACATTTTTATGTTTAACTGACTTCAAAACCTACTAAAACTCTTTGGAAGATTTTTAAACATGTTAGAAAATTCTCGAGATTATAGAACCTCAAGCTATTGAGTCCAGCCCCCTAATTTTACAATTTGAGAAACTGAGGCTAGTCTTAGAATTATAACTCACTTAATGTTACATTTGTAAATTTTATTTGACCACTGCCATTCTTTGTTAAATTATTATTCATTTCGTAAGAGGGAATATACATTTTCTTATTTCACTTTTGATACTAATAAATTAATAAATAATTAACTAAACATAAAACTAAACAGAGTTCTTACATCTTTAAGGAGTTAAGTGCTAAAACTCTTTAGAATTTTTCTCTCCGTTTGTCAAGATAAAAGCTTCACCTGGGGATAGTTATCCTACCTCCTACCTCCTACCTCCTGTAGCCTTCTTTCTGCCTTTTTTTTTTCACTATCTGAAACTACTTTGAAAAAGTATGGACTCATTTCCTCCCTTTTATTCAATAACTTAAGTACACTATTATGATTCTTTGTAATATCCCTGTGAAGCCCATTATGGTTTGGATGATCAGAATTTAAAATATCTACTGTTATAAGTTCTTAGCTCTTAGATTTCCAGCTTTTTTCTAAGCATTTTTTTTCCTGAATTTTTCTTTAAGGTCTTTTAAGTCCTTTTAGTTTTTAAATGTCTGTCTTTTGCCTTTAGACAGAATGTTTTGATTGCCTTAGAAATAGGTTATATACGTTTTATTTTTGTTGCTTCCTGCTTACATGATTTTTGAACTTTTTAGAAAACCTCATAAAATACTGATTGTTTTTTTTTTCTTCTGATTGTTTTTTGATAGGTGATCTTTTTCTCTGGTAGCTTGAATTTTTTTTTTAGTCATAATTTTTTGAAGTGTGAGAATGATATGCCTAGCTAAGTTGAATTTTGTGACTTGGTGCCTTTCTATCGTAGGCCCTTGTAACTTCTCGCTTAGACAATTGAAATAGCTTCCTATTTGGTCTCTTTGCCTCAAATGTTGCCTAACTTTAGTCCAACCTCCACATAGCTGCTAAATTAATTTTCTTCAGGTACAGGTCTGACCATGTCATTCTCTTACCCAGTAAATTGAAAATGGCTTGTTACCTTTAGAATAAAATATTAAATCCATTGACTTAAAAGAGTTTTATAACTTGGTTCCAACCTACCTCTCATGCTTTATTATACACTTAAATATTATTCATTTTTATTTTGAACTTAAATGCCAAATAAAATGAGCATTTTAACATGTGGTAAGATAGATCATACATAAAGTTATAGATCCCTGTTATGTATGGCTTGCTTTTGTTTTTAAGTATGTAATAAGTTCATTCTGTAGCTTTTATTGCTGCCATACTTGTCTGTGCTTCTTTGTGGGCTTTTTTCTCTGAATTTTTAAAAAGATGCCTCAGTGCCCTTCTTTTTTCTTCCTTGTCTGTTTTTTCCCCCATGGCTCTTCTACCCCCTTAACCCTTTCACCGCCATCCCTGTTAGGAAAAAAAAAAAGACAAACCAAGTTCTACCGAATATGCACAGTCTAGTAAAATATTCCCATATTGGTTATATCTGAAAATGTATGTTTTATTCTGCAGTTTGAGTCCATCATCTCTCAAGAGGTAGATAGCAGTTGTCATCAGTATTCTGGAATCGGAGTTGGTCATTTCATTGATTATAATTCTCAAATCTTTCAAAGTAGCATTTCTTCATAATGTTATATAAATTGTTCTGGTTTTGCTCACTTCATTCTGTATCAATTCATGTAGGTCTTCTCAGGTTTCTCTGAAACCATCCATTTTGTCATTTCTTTTGGTACAATAATATCCCATTATATTCATATATAATAATTTGTTAGCCATTCCCTAGTAGATGAGCACTCTTTAGTTTCTCATTTGCTATAACAAAAAGAGCTGCTATAAAAATTTGTTACTTATCAGTCTGTTCTCTCTTTAATCTTCCTAGGGGTATAAGCTTAGTAGTAGTACTTTAGCAGGGTCAGGGGGTATATACAATTTAGTAACTTTTGGGCCTACTTCCAAATTGGTTTCCAGAATCCAGTTAGTGTTTCTGTTTTCCTGGGGCCACTCTTCATTTTAATTATCCTTTTTTGTCATCCTGGCTAATCTGCTGGGTGTGAGATGGAATTCAGAGTTGCTTTAATTTTTATTTACAGCATATTTTTTAATATCATTGTTGGTAGTTTGTATTTCTTCCTTTGAAAACTGCTTATTCATAACCTTTTACTATCTATTAGGGAATAGTTCTTATAAATGTGAATTCATTCTGTATACACATATGTACATACACACACACACACACTCTTAAATATATGTCTTGTTAATGGGACCTTTCCTCCCTGCCACCATATACATCTTGGATATGAGACTTTTATCAGAGAAATTTGCTGCAAAGATATTTTCCTCCAGTTAATCTGATTCCCTGCTAATTTTAACTATTGGTTTTGTTTATGCAAAAACATGTATCTTTCTAAACCTTCCTGTTCATTTGAAGCTGTTACTTTGTACATGTACATACATGTGTATATGCAAATATATAAATGAAGAAAGTAACTTGTCCCTTTTCTAGGTGTTGGGAAGTTCTGGACTGTTTAACAACCAAGTCTTCCAGCTGCAGCATCAACAGCAGAGGAAACTCTCATTACATGAATACCTGAGCATGGAATTGTTGCGAGAAGCTGGCATCGCTATTCCTAAGGGACAAGTGGCAAAATCACCAGATGAAGCTTATGCAGTTGCCAAAAAATTAGGTATTAAATTGAGAAAAACTTGTGCCACATAGAAAAGGGAGCTTTTATACAATGTGATCTTTTTTTTTTCCTTAATGTTTCTGGTAAGAAATTTCTTAGCTTTTATTTTATATCTTTTACCTCTTCTCTAAGACAGCCTTGTTTTCACTAAAAATAACCAGGTGAAATTTGGATAGCTTTTGATTGAAATTCTGTAATTCATTAGTAACAACAGTGGTTACGTAAGTGACTTACAGATGGCACTTAGTTCTGTGATGTAAGACAAGCAAAATCTAGGTTAATTTTAAGGTATATATTTTGTCAAGTGCGTGTAACCGGAAGGATGATGATTGCAGCTGTGATGCTCAACAATTTGTTATTGAAGTGTCAAAGTTAAACTCGATGGGTACCTTCTCTTTGTCATGAAATGAAAATTTGTATCTAAAGAGAAGTTGAGCTAAGAAAAATGGTACCAACAATTTAATAAATTGATTTACTTCATAAATTCTTTTTGGAAACTTCAGCCACAGTTGGCATTTTGTTCTTTGATGGCATCTTACATTTTTCAAAGCTGTGATTAGTTCTTTACTTGAAAAAAAATGAAACATTAATTTAAATAAGTGAACATAATTAGCAATGCATTAGTCATACAGTCCTTTTTAGAGTAAATTTCTTTTCTAGATATACATGACTAATTACTACATTAACTAATTTATAATTCTGTTAAGTATTCTTATTCTAGATTTTGATTTTTTTAGTACTTTAAGAAAGGTATGAAAAAATATTGCAGGTATGTTTTTCAATTTAAAGTTTTCAGACATTTATTTCCTTATTTTCCTTCAGAATAAGTGTATCTAGCTAGAAGAGGAGAGTACAAGTTGATTGCTTTGCATCTTAATTTTCCCCATTCTTTTTTGAATTACCTAATTTAAAGTGTAAGTTTTGATGACATCTTTTGCTCTTGGACCGTCGTGTGTGTGTGTGTGTGTGTGTGTGTGTGTGTATGTATTTTTGTATGTATATGATAGCTATAATTTTTCCAAGTGTAGTTGTTTTGGTGTTTGAGCTTGCCTTTTTTTTTTCTGTGCATCAGCCAACTTTTTTATTTACTTCATTTTTGTCCACACTACAGACAGCAGAAGTCTTATAACTCACTAATTTCTGTGGAAATAATTGGTTGTGAACTCATATTAAATTTTGTAGATGGCGTATCCTGGAAATCTTCTGCTGTAGTTCTGGGATATATATACAGTAAGAACAACTCTTAAATATCAGGATTTTAAGGAAATTGACTGGCCATATTTCTGTATTATATTAAAATAATATGTTTTGCATTTCTATAGAATGCTTTTTAAAGGCAAACTTTCTTTGAAGGAGGTAGGTCCTGTATGTGTATATATACATATGTATATATCTATATGTATATGTACACAAACTTTTTTTTACAATCTTTGTATTAATACATCCAATAAACTGTTTTCTGAAGCTTACAAGACATAATAGAAATGAGATACTGAGAAAAATAAGACTTTTTGAAAAAAGAGAACTGAGAAAATAAGGCCTTCTTTTGATGTACTGCTTAGATCAGTCATTTTAAATGTCTGATTAAAAGGTCATTTTAAATGACCTCATATTCTGATAAAGTTATAATCTTTTCCTCTTGCCTTAAATCATCAGGCTGTAATAGAAAAGTGAGTACTTTTTTCAGTGAGTAGTTTTTTTTTAATAGGAAAAGCAACTCAGACCCATGCTTTACATATTTTACATCATGTTTTACATTTTGAGGAAAATGAAAACACTTGAGATGGTAAAACTGCCATTATGAATTGTCAAAGGGTGAAGGGAATTTAAAAATCAAACAGTTGAAGGTTCAGAAGAAATATTCACACTTAGCTAGTGGTCTTGGTTATACTGTCTGCATGCCCTTCTTGTGATATTTTCCCATGTCCAAAAATTTGCTATCTTTTCTTGTACCTTAAGTCCATTACCATTCAGGATGTGGGTAACAATCTTCATCAGAGTTCCTCTGGAGACATTGTTTTGATTAGAATTTTTAAGTCTTTCAGAGTTGTTTTTTCCTTATGATGCTGTCATTGTATAAGTTGTTCTCTTGGTTTTGCACACTTCATTTTGCATCAGTTCATACTTCCCAGGATTCTCTGAAATCGTCTCTTTCATAATTTCTTACAGGTCAATAATATTTTATTACATTCACATATCACAATTTGTTTATTTGTTTCCCAGTTTATGGGTAGCCTCATAGATTCCTGTTCTTTGCTTTTCTTTTTTCCTTTTATAGGGCCAGAACATTTGTTTTCCTTATGGCCCTTTTCTCCTCAGTAGTCATCTTCCTCTTAACCACTCTCTTCCCATTAACTTTATCTTTCCTTGTTGAGTTGATATATTTCTACACCAGACTGTGTGTATATGTATTCACCTCTGTTTTGTTTGTTTCAGATAAAAATGAGTTTCATCTGATACCTGCTTTCCTTATGCATTCTCCATATTTGTTTACTCTTTTTCTCAGATACTCCAGTTATAAGAAATAGCAAGTCCTACTTCCTTTGTCCCCCTTCTTCACTAGTATATTCCTTTTACCCATCCTTTTTCTTTTTTAAGTCTTCAGAATGAAACCAGTCTGAAGGTTCTCTGTTGTCTTAATTGAACTCCTTCAGTATTCTTCGAAAACATTAAGATTCTGAATGGACAGTTGTTTCTTTTCCCCATTAGTATTTAAGCCCTGTAATATGATATAATTCCTTCTAATTACTCAAATAAATTTCTCTTGATTCTTATGTTTGTAATTTAGAGTTCAGCTCAGGTGTTTTCATCAAAAATCTGTAAAATTTATCTATTCTATTAAAAGTCTATTCCTCCCCTCCCTCTCCACGAACTTCCTTCTCCCTCCCCTTTCCCCTGGATTGAACTAAGCTTTGCAGAGTAAGTTTTTCTTGGTACAAAGACTATATTTCTTACCTTTCAGAATTTTGTATTCTAGGAATGCCTTTCATTATTAGTATAAGCTGCCAGGATCTTGTGTGACTCTGATTGCAGTTCCTTAAGTACTTGAATTGCTTTTTTCTGAATGCTTTCAGTTTTTTTTTTTTCCTGACATGGGAGCTCTGGATTTTGGCTATGACATTTCTGTGACATTTCCTTTTAAGACATGAATTCTTTCCATCTTCTCTTTACCCTCTGGTCTAATAAGTGTGAGCAGTTTTCATTTATCCTTCTTGAAATACAGGATGTCCAAAAAATCCTAGTAGTTTAAAACTGCGCTAACACTTTTTGGACCACTCTACATAGTGTCCAGGCTTTCTTTTCTTTATTTTAATGTTGAATTGTGGTTTTTAAGGAGTCCATTGATCTCTCTTTGATCTAGTTCCAGATCAGTTCATACTAGATAATTTAGATTTTTTTTCTAATTTTTTCCATTTTGTTCTAATATTTCTTGCTGTCTCATGAAGTAATCGGGTTTCTGTTTTGTCTCTTCTAGTTTTTATGGAGTCAGTTACTTGGGTTAGATTTACTACATTTGCTTCTATTCTTTCATTTCTTTCCCCAGAGTTTTTATTTTGTTTATTTTTTATCTCTTGCCTCATTTCTTCTAAATATTTGTGTAGTCCTGGTGAAAAATCCACTTTTTCCATTGAGTCCATTTGCAGTTGTTAATGGTGTTACCTTCTAGCCTGGAATCTTGAGTATTTTGGGATTTGATACTTTGTAGAGGTTGGTGCCTTCTGCTTACTCATCCTTCCAGTCTTAGTTCCTAAATTAGGGCTTTGTGCCAGGGCCAGTCTTCACCTCCTTTTGTGCTTTTGGGTGAGGTGATAAGACCCTGTTTGGTTGTGTCCTGAATCACCTGTGTTGACTTTACCTCCCAGGGTTAGTGGTCCTGGATCTTGGAATTAGAGAGTGTTGGATCTTCAAGGCCCTCTTGGTGTTTGAGTTCAGAGCGAAAAGGCCTTGGAGCCTTGGAATGTCCTGGTCTGAATACTGCTTCTCCTGCACTGATCTCTACTACTTCCAAGTGGCTTCCAAGGTACTCACTGAAGATTTCTAATCACATAGAGCTTTCTCAGGGAGCTGCCTCAAGATACAGAACCTGCAGGCTTTAGGTGACTCTGGTCTGTCTCTTGTGGGCTCTGTTAGAGCTCTCCTTTCCTCATGCCTGTAGGCTTCTGGCTTTCTTTCTGGGAAGTTTTAGGGTAAAACTAGTCATCGTAGTTTTTAATTGGATTTCTTCATCCAGGGTGATTTTAGGTGTTGGCAGGAGTAAGTATGGTGAGTTGATTTGCCTGCCTTTGTTCAGTCACTCTTCTTTGCTAGAAGTCCCTTATTTTGACTGTTGAACCATTTAAAAGCATCTGTGTTCCAGGAAATAAGCTTGACCACCCCTGCTGTAGTTGTTTAATTTGAAAAAAAAAAGAATTCCTATGAAGATCAGATGAAATAACTTAGTAAAGCACTTTGCAAACGTTAAAGTTCTAGATTGGTGCTGTTGTTATACTAATTCAGGAGGTTCATAATTTCAGTGGTATGGGTGCTACCTCCCCAGATGCAATTTGCAAACCATCCATGCTCTAGTAGATAGTTTTATAAGTTGTTGTGGCCAAAAAAGTCATTGTTGGGGTTGAGGGCAGCAGGGAGGGAGAAGGGGACACAACAACCTTCTGGTGCTTTGAGGCAAGTAATAAAGGATTGATAATCTTGATTTCTTAGTTCTCTGTGTTTTGTTGTAGGGTCTTTTGGATATGTCTTTATCTTAAATATATATATATATAAATGATAAGTTATGGTTCAGTGTCTGTCAAAGCATATAAATGGAATTTACATCATTGCTGATGGAGGTGGCTTTTAATTTTGTCTTATTTGAAATGCACTTTTGGTAATAGCAATGACAGTTCTCAAATGTTTGTTATTAAATTATTTTACTTAATTTTTGTTGAAATAAGACTTTAAATTATAGTATGTGTATAATGAACAGCATTTCTTACTAAGTACCAGGCTGTATACAAAAT